AAAAAAAAAAAAAAAAAAAAAAAATGAAGATTAAAATGAAGTTGAAAGATTGGGGCCCAGAATTAAACGTAGAAAGATGCAGCTCATGCTACTTTGGAATAAACGTGTATGTGCTTTTGGGCTGCCAGGGTGCGCAGGGCTGTGTCCTTCCCCTGGTCGGACAGCAGCCCCTGGAGCCTTCTGGATTGGGTGTGGTGTGTTGTTTTCTTATTTTAAGCTTTTTGTTTTGAGAGATGGGGTTTTCACATGTTGGCCAGGATGGTCTCGATCTCCTGACCACGTGATCCGCCGAACTCGGCCTCCCAAAGTGTTGGGGCTACAGGCCTGAGCCACCGCGCCCAGCCTTGGATTTCTTTTTTAAAAGTTCTTTGAGGAGCAAGAGGAGGCTGCGGAAAAGCTGCGGGGAGGGGCAGAATCCCAGAACCCTTGTGAGGAATGGGGCCCTGAGTTTTCTCCCTGGAGGGGGTGAGGAGGGGTCACAGCACTTCTGCATACTCCATGGTGTCAGTGGGCCTCAGTCCGGGTGGGGGTCAGTGAGGGGAGGAGCTGAACTCTGTGACCCTCGTACCCTGGTTTGTCTCCCAGAAAGGCCTCTTGTGGCTCCATTAGCACCGGGACGAGGCTGGGCTTTGGGAGTGGCATGGACAGTTGAGGTGGTTCCATCCTGTCCCTGCTTCTGGCTGGGGGCTGGAGGTGACCGCGCCAGCCTGGGGAAGAGCTTGCCATGGGGGATGCAGGCCCCTGGGTCTGGCAGACCTGGGTGTGCCCCCCTGACTCACGTCTTCCCAGCTTCCTCTTCCTGGACATGCGTGGGTGGCTGGCCCTACCTCAGGGCTTCCAGTAGTGGGCCCTCGGTGTAGGGGAGTGGGCTGCTGGGGTCAGGCGAGGCCATAGGGGTGGAGCAGGATGGAGCTCGGGGTGGCGTTGGGGGCAGTGCCCATGTCCTGCTGTGGGACCACTCTGAATACCCTGGTGTCTGGGTGGCCCCCCGAGGTGAAGTCTGGGGTCAGGCAAGGCCATGGGGGTGTCTGGGTAGCCCCCCGAGGTGAGGTCTGGGGTCAGGCGAGGCCATGGGGGTGTCTGGGTGGCCTCCCGAGGTGAAGTCTGGGGTCAGGCGAGGCCATGGGGGTGTCTGGGTTGCCCCCTGAGGTGAGGTCTGGGGTCAGGTGAGGCCGTGGGGGTGTCTGGGTGGCCCCCTGAGGCGGGGTCTGGGGTCATGCGAGGCCATGGAGGTGTCTGGGTGGCCCCCGAGGCAGGCGGGCTGGTCCTGTCGAGCCTGCACCCACTGGGACCCTCTGCAGGTGTGTCGGCCCAGTCCTTCCTCCACTGCTTCACGATGGCCAGCACCGCCTTCAACCTGCAGGTGGCCACCCCTGGGGTAAGTCCAGCCACTCCTTCCCCACTGGACACTTGGGGTCTGGCCCCACCTCTCTGGGGCAAGGTCAGGAGCATCGCTGCCTGGGAGACGTGGGGAGCCCCTGCAGTTGGCGGAGGGGTGAAGGGTCTGTAAACAAACCCTGGTGGCATCCTGAGTCTGGGTCCCCACTTCCTGGGCTCTGACCCCCCCGTGATGAGGCAGACCCTTTCGTCCCGGATCTGTGCTTCTGCGCATGTGTGAACAGGAGACCAAGGTGCAGCCCTGGTGCGAGGGACCTGCACAGATCTTACCGTGGGAGGAGTTCTCCACCCTCTGATCGTGGGGGCCGGGGGATGGCAGATGTAGATAAATCACGGCAAGGATGTGCTACGTATTCGCCACTGCAGGCTTTTATTTGTAAACAGTATGGGTGTGTTTGCTGGGAAACAGACCACTGAGGCCGCTCCTGGGACGGGCTCCCCAGCCTGGAAGACCAGTGGAGGAGGCTGCGTGGTCGGTGCCCGTCAGCATTTTCACACTCCCTCTGAGCCGACAGAGAGAACCCGGGTGCTGACCCTTGGCCCCTGGGCTCTGCTACTCCAGGGGAAAGCCATGGACTTTGTTGATGTGACCGAGAGCAACGCACGCTGGGTGCAGGACTTCCGCCTCAAGGCCTATGCCAGCCCCGCCAAGCTTGAATCCATTGACGGTAGGCTCAGGACTCACTCCCTGGGAGGGGTGCCTGGGACCTTGGAAGGTCAAGGGTTCCAGATACATTTTGGGTCTTAGTGACTCCCCAGCTCGCCCCCTGAAGCCCTGTGACCATCTAGGGCAGCCTCCAGACGCACGTCCTGGGGGAGGAGAGCTGGTAGGCGTGTGGAGACGGGAAAGTCAGGGTGGCCCTTGGGAGCTGTAGCCGGTGGAGGAAAAGGGACAGGTGATGTCATCAGGCCGGCTGGTCCTGCAGGGGGCCTCACTTTAATTGACGTGTGGCCACCTGGCCTGTGGTCTCCTCCAGGTGCCCGCTACCATGCCCTCCTGATCCCCAGCTGTCCTGGGGCCCTGACCGACCTGGCCAGCAGTGGCTCCCTGGCCCGTATCCTGCAGCACTTCCGGTCAGAGAGAAGTAGGTGACGCTGGGGCGCGGGGTAGGGGTCGGATGTGCAGCTCACAAGAAGTGGGTCTCCCACCAGCAGGAGAGGTGGGAAGACGCCCAGGTCGGGGTTTCTGGGCCTCTGGTCAGTGGCCGTTGCAGTGGCTGTGGGTGGGAGGTAGTGACACGTACTTGTCCTCTTCTGGTGACTGGGTGGGCTCCCGCGGGTGGGTGGCCGTGCCCTCCTGGGCCCCTCATGAGCAAGGCAGGATACCAGCCTGGTTCTTTCCGGAAAAGCCTGGCATCCAGGGCTGGGCCTGGGGCTTGAGGCCGGCAGGGGTGTGGGCAGGAAGTCCATGGCAACCTGGCGGCTGCCCCGGCTCACTGTTGGCTGTGATGAGTGTGTCCACTGGCTGGGTGGACAGGCCAGCGCTCTCTACAGCTCCTTTTGTATACAGCTCCCTGGGAGCCAGGCCGCTGTCCTCAGCGTGGCCTGGACAGGCAGTGATTGTTTGTGGCCACCTCAGCCGTGGGAACGCACCCGGCCTTTCAGGTGGAGCCAGGGTGACCCCACTGCAGGGTACGGGCACTGCCCGAGGCTTACCTCCCACCCGCGCAGGGCATCCTCTCTAGCCGGGAGGGACCTTTCCCACTGCGCCTGCCACTGCGTGGAGCAGCTGGGCTCTGTGCCCTGGGGTTGCCAGGCAGTGTCCTGGGTTTGGTGAACAGACCTGGGAGGAGGGGCCCGGGCAGGCGGCACAGGCCTGGGGGAGCCACAAGCAGTGGCATCGGGAAGCGGGCGGCCGGGGCCCCAGAGTGCCATGTGCTGCTTCCAGAGCCCATCTGTGCTGTCGGCCACGGTGTCGCTGCTCTGTGCTGTGCCACCAACGAGGACAGATCCTGGGTGTTCCACGGCTACAGCCTGACAGGGGTGAGTGCCCGGAGGACAGAGGCCCCCCCCGTGCTCCCCCCCGTGCTCACCCCCCCGTGCTCCCCCCTCCGTCCTCCCCTGTGACAGCCAGGGACGAGGACAGAGACTCCAGAACGCCTCGCCCCTAGTCTTGGCCTGGGGCCTGCTGGAAGCTCAGGCCCCCTCACCAGGGGACGTGGGGAGGGAGGGGCAGCAGACCTGCGCTTGCGTCCGGAGGGGCTGAGAGCCTCGTGGGGCTGTCCTCGGAGACGGCCTGTGCCCATCTGAGGCCCAGAAGCTATGAATTGGGCTCTGTGGACTCTGGGTGCTGGGCTGTGGGAGCAGCACAGGCCCTGGGGCAGGGAGAGGAGGCTGCTGTGCAGACATGGGTTTCACTGGAGGTGAAATGGCCCTGGCCCCAGCTGTCACTTTCCCTCTCAGGGGGCCCTCCTCAGTGGGTGCTCAGTGCTGCCCTCTGAGGGGCAACACCACCCCAGTCTCAGGTTACAGGTGGGCACGACCCCTCACATGAGTGGTTAGGGTCACGTCTGCCCAGGGTGACTGCTCAGCTGTCTGCCCACCACGGGGCTCTCCCTCGAAGCCCTTGTCATTCCAGTCACCTGTGTGCTCCAATGCTAGGGAGCTGGGCCCTCCTTCTGTAGTGGCCTTGTCGCTCCCAGGGACACCCCACGGGAAGATAGCTGGCCTTGGTTGTCTCTCCGGCCCCCAGCCTCAGCAGCCGTCCCTGTCACGAGCAGTGACACCCCCAGTCCCACTTGGTTGGGTGAGGCTCCCTGCCCTGGTTTGACCTTCCTGTCCCCTGGAGTGGGCCTGGGCCTGGGCCCGGCTCAGGAGCCCCACCCCCCTCCCCGCAGCCCTCCGTGTGTGAGCTCGTCAGGGCCCCCGGCTTCGCCCGCCTACCGCTGGTGGTGGAGGACTTTGTGAAGGATTCTGGCGCCAGCTTCAGTGGTGAGCCCTGAGAGCGCCCTCTGTGCTTACAGAAGTTGGGGGGCTTGCCTGCTTCAGCTTGGGGGAGGAGCCTGCTGGGCCCTGGGTTCTGTAGACCCCTGCGACACTGACTTAGACCCAGACAGGCTGACCTGCTGACCCTGGGGGCCCGCCTGAGCTCGGGCTTCCCGGTGGGTGAGGTGGACATTGCCTGAGGCTGGTGCCCTTGGTCCTCCGCAGCAAGCGAGCCTGACGCCGTGCACATCGTGCTGGACCGCCACCTGGTCACAGGCCAGAATGCCAACTCCACTGTCCCAGCCGTGCAGAACCTGCTCTTCCTCTGTGGCAGCCGGTGAGGGTACCAGGGTGGGTACATTCCTGCCACATCTGCAGAGCTGCACCAGGTGCGGGTGCCAAGCCTTGACCACACATCTGTCCTGCAGGAAATGAACCTGCTGGGTAGATGCACCCCCTGAGACAGCCCACGTGTCTCCAGAGGCAGGCAGCCCGGTCTCGGGCCTCCGGGGACCCCGCCTCATCCCTCCTGACAAGGAACATGGATGGCGGCCCCAGATGGCCACCCGGTCTCGCCTTAATGGGACTGTTGGAGGCCTCCTGGAATCAGCTCTGAGCGGGTGTCAGTCTCCTGGAGGCCCCAACCCCCCAGCCCCCTGCATGTTCTCCAGTAGGAGGCAGAGAAAAGACCCCAGATGCCCAGAAGGCTGTGGTAGCTGCCAGGTGGTTCTCGGGAATGCCAAGCCGGGTGTTCCAGGGAGGACTGGTTGCCAAGTACGGTCACTGCTGACAGAGTCAGCTCCGGGGTCCTCTGTGGGGGCTGGCCCTGTTGTGGCCGTGGGTGGGGGCCTTGAGGGGAGGGAGCCGGCGAGAGGTGGCCCAGAACTTCCTCTGGCCACAGGTGAAGGAATTTTTTTGGGAGCAGCAGCCTCCTGCCCCGAGACTGACCGGAAATGGCAGCACTTGCCTGTTGGAGAAATTTTCCTGGCCCGTCTTTTAAAATGTGAGCACTGTGGTGAAGCCCCGTCCTGTCTGAGCATCGAGACTTCCTTAGCTGAGACCATGACACCGCGCAGTTCTCACAGAGGAAAGTGCTGTTCCCGGTGGCCCTGCACAGAGCGGCCTTGGGTGCAGCTGCTGTCAAGAGCAGACAGTGTTCCGGCCTGCTGGGCACCTGGCCTGGGCCGTGTGCCTCCAGCGCGCTGCCCGCTGGCCCCAGCGCAGGGCCTCCAGGAGCGGCCTAGACCCTCTTACCCAGAGTTCTGCAGTTTGAGCCTTCCTCCAGCCCGCCTTCCCCTCAGCCACAGTCGCCCCCAAGCACCAGGGTGGCTCCTGGTGCCAGCGACCTGCCAGGAGGCCCCTTGTGATTATAAACCCATTTAGTAGGGCGGGTGTGGTGATGGGCGCCTGTCATCCCAGCCACCTGGGAGGCTGAGACACGAGAATTGCTTGAACCTGGGAGGCAGAGGTTGCCGTGAGCCGAGATCATGCCATTGTACTCCAGCCTGGGCAACAAGAGCGAAACTAATCTCAAAAATAAAAAATAAAACCGTTAATAAGGAGAATTCAGAGAAAAGTGGAAGGAGGCGCTGCAGCCACGTCCCTGCCCTGAGGCTGCGTTTCTCCAGCGCCTCCGGGATTACTTGGGATGCCCACGTGGCACTGGCCGCAGGGCTCTGTCCGGGGTCCGCCCTAACCCCCGTGTGGTGATGGACATCTCTCGACAAGTATTTATTTTTATTTTTAAAATTTTTTGAGATGGAGTTTCCCTCTTGTTGCCCAGGTGGCGTGCAGTGGCGCAATCTCGGCTCACCGCAGCCTCCACCTCCCAGGTTCAAGCAAGTCTGCCTCAGCCTCTGGAGTAGCTGGGATTACAGGCGTGTGCCGCCATGCCCAGCTAATTTTTGTATTTTTTATTATTTTTTGAGACAGAGTCTTCCTCTGTTGCCCAGTTGGGAGTGCCTCAGCCTTGGCTGCCCGCGTAGCTGGGATTACAGGCCCAGCTAATTTTTCTCTAATTTTTAGTAGAGATCGGGTTTCACCATGTTGGCCAGGCTGGTCTTTAACTTTTAACCTCAAGTGATATTCCTGCCTCGGCCTCCCAAAGTGCTGGGACTACAGGGGCCTGCCATCGTGCCCGGCCTCATGTTTGTATTTTTAGTAGATGGGGTTTCACCTTGTTGACCAGGCTGGTCTTGAACTCCTGACTTCAGGTGATCACGTGCCTTGGCCTCCAGAGTGCTGGGATTACAGGCGTGAGCCACCGCGGCTGGCCAGCAAGTACTTTTTTAAAGAAAACTTAAAGGGCGGGTGTGGTGGCTCACGCCTGTAATCCCAGCACTTTGGAGGGCCGAGGTGCGTGGATCATGGCAGGAGATCGAGACCATCGAGGCCAACATGATGAAACCCCGTCTCTACTAAAAGACAAAAAGTTAGCTGGGTGTGGTGGCGGGCGCCTGTAATCCCACCTGCTCGGGAGGCTGAGGCAGAATTGCTTGAACCCCAGAGGCGGAGGTTGCAGTGAGCCGAGATCGCGCCATTGCACTCCAGCCTGGCGACAGAGCAAGACTGCATCTCAGAAAAAGAAAATTCAAGATGCTGCGTAATGTCTTAGTCCATTTGGGCTCCTGTATGAAAAGACTAAACCTACTGGCTTGTAAACAAATCGGTTTCAGGTTTGGAAGCTGGAAGCCCAAGATGGAAGAGCCTCTTTTGTGAGGGTGAGGCTCTGCCCTGTGACCCGATGACCTCCCGCATGCCCCACCTGCTGCCATCCCCTGGCAGGTGAGGGCTGAAGCGGGTGGGTTTTGTGGGGGACGTCTTCAGGCCACAGCAGGTAGATGAAGAGCGGTGAGCCATGCTGAGCCCCTCTGGTCAGCCAGATCTGACTGAGCCCAGCACTGAAGGTCAAGGGAGTTGTGGCTTTGGGGATGTGAAGTAGGTTGTCATGAGGGGCCCCACAGACCTGTCCCCAGGTGAGCCGCCCACGGGCCTCTTCATCATACCTCAGCTGCATGCCAGGCCTTTGGCGTGGAGAGCCTCCCTGCTGTGCCCAGTTCTCTCTGCCAGGGCAGGGCTTGGGGCAGCACCGGGCTGGGGCAGAGGAGGAAAGCAAGGGGACAGCCTCCGGAAGAGCAGCGGAGGGTGGGTGAGGATGTCCCCACATACCCAGTGTGTGTTCACTTGCCCAGAGAAATAAACCATGCAGCTCCATACACATGGTACCCGGGTGCATGTGGCAGAGCTGCTCATGATAACGGATGAGTTGTTTTCACGCAGTGGGTGATCAATATGTCTGATGATTATTGGTACCTGTTAGTAAGGCTTATGTAGCCATGTGCTGGATTGTTTGGCTACGTGGTCTTGCTGTGTTGCCGTGGCCGGACTGCAGTGACTTGTTACTGCTCTCGGCGGCCTTGAACCGGCCTCAAGTGATCTCCCACCTCAGCCTCCCCAGTAGACGACGTGGGGACACGCGCCGTGGCCAGCTGGGGGTGAAGCTCTTTTACGTTCTGTGATACGGGTGGACCTGGAAGAAACGCTGAGTGAGAGAAACCCGTCTCTGAAGGCCTGTGCCCTGTGAGCCCATTTTTTGTGAAATGTCCGGAAAATGTACGTCAGAAAGTAGATTGGTTGAGGGTGGGAATGGGGACAAGGTATGAGATTTATTTTGGGGTGATGGTTTCACAGTTCTGAGTGCTAAGATGGCTGAATGTTTGCAAATGGCGTTCACAGTTGCATGCAGAGCGGGGCCTCCAACCGCAGGGCTGCATTCTGCCGGGTCTCCTGGGAGGTGCTGGTGTGGGAGCCGTGAGACCTGATGCCCTCTTAGGACTTGTCCTGTTGACCGGCTCAGAGGCAGAAGCCCAGGCCACTGTGGGAAGCCTACGGGTACGAGGGACTCCTCAGCAGTGGGGAGGGCGCTGCCCCTCAGCTCTCCACCCCAGGAGGAGCCCTGCACGGTTCTTGACCAAGGGACACTGGCAGCCCAGCTGCCTCCCTGGCCTGCCACCCTGCCTCAGGGTTGTCCCCTCAGCACCCTGGATGGGCCGGGCATGCTCAGGCCGGAACTGAGGAGGGGTGGCCAGGTGCCGGGGTCCAAGCGTAGCTTGTAGGTTCAGGGTGAGAAGCTCTGCTGTCCCTGCCCTTGGAGGGCTGGGGCAGGTCCAGAAGCTGCTCCAGACCCTAGCAAGTAGGGGCTCAAGGGACCTTCATTTTGCAGTTCCTGGCATCCCTAGAGCCAGGCAGGACCAACCTGTGACCTGGTGGCAGCTTCCAGGGAGGGGAAGAAGGGGGTGCCCCAGAGCCATGGGAGTCCCCTGCTGACCCCTGGGTGGGGCCCAGGGCAGTCCCTGCATCACTGGCTAGACTGGCCTTTCATGTCCACAGCTGGGAAGCCAGACGTGCGTCCAGGAGCCCCCCTTGCCTTGTTCTCCCTGCTGCCTGACCAGGACTGGGTGTGGCAATCACCCTGTGAGTGCTGTCGGAACCGAGGGACCACCCCATAGACCACCCATGACTGCCCTCACAAGCCCTTCCTAGCGCAGCCCATTGCATTAAAACTCAGTTTATGAACTATTTGCAGGCCTGAGCGTGCTGTGCTGGGTTTCAGGTTTGGGCTAGGATTAGTAAAGGTGGCCAGGTGCGGTGGCTCACACCTGTAATCCCTGCACTTTAGGACGCTGCAGCAGGAGGATCACATGAGCCCAGCACTTTGAGACCAGTCTAGGCAATGTGGTAATAAATAAATATCTCTGTAATAAATAAAAAATTAGCCACACGTGGTGGTGCACGCCGCTAGTCCCAGCTACAGGCAGGAGGGTCACTTGAGCCTGGGAGGTCGAGGCTACGGTGAGCCAAGATCCCACCACTGCACTGAGGCCCCATGTTGAAAAACGGGGAGAGGCCAGGTGTGGTGGCTCCCGCCTGTCATCCCACACTTTGGGAGGATGAGGTGGGTGGATCACCTGAGGTCAGGAGTTCGTGACCAGCCTGGCCAACATGGTGAAACCCCACCTCTACTAAAATACAAAAAATTAGCCGGATGTGGTGGTGGGTGCCTGTAGTCCCAGCTACTCGGGAGGCGGAGGCAGGAGAATCGCTTGAACCCGGGAGGCGGAGGTTGTGAGCCAAGATGGCGCCACTGCACTCCAGCCTGGACAAGAGGAGACTCTGTCTCAAAAAAACAAAAAAAAAATGGGGAGAGAGCCAGATGCAGTGGCTCAGGCCTGTAATCCCAGCACTTTGGGAGGTCAAAGCAGACGGATCACTTGAGGTCAGGAGTTTGACACCAGCCTGGCCAACATGGTGAACAGTATAAACATGAGCCAGGTGTTGTGCCTGCCTGTAGTCCCAGCTACGCAGGAGGCGGAGGCAGGAGAATCGCTTGAACCCGGGAGGCGGAGGTTGCAGTGGGCCGAGATCACAGCACTGCACTCCAGCCTGGGCAGTAAGAGTGAAGCTCCATCTGAAAACAAAATGGGATGGGGGGCTTCAAAGCCCGCGGCTGGTGCATGTCGTGCTGCCCCTACGAGGTGATGCCATGACCCCATGCAGGAACCTGGCATCCCTTGCAAGGTGTCAGCCACAACAGGACAAGGGGGGCAGGGCGGGGCAGCCTTGACAGGGAACAGGAGGCCCAGACCCTCAAAAGCAGGAGGGAGGGTCTGGCTGGGACTGCTCCTCTGGCAGGCGTCCACACGTGCCCATGCTTGGAGGCCTGAAACTGCATCAGCGTTCATCTGTGACCCACTTGGGACAGCACCCTGGGAGCCCCTGGCATCATAACCCTACCCTTTGCCCAGTGTAGGGCTGAGGGCTCCACAGGGTCGTGGGGTGAGCCTTATGCTGTGCTGAGGTGCAGGATCCGGGAAATAAAGAGACAGGACACAGAAGTACAAGGAAAACGCAGCTGGGCTTGGGGCCACGCCACCTATGAGCGGAGTTAGGCGAGGCCCCCAATGTCCAGAAGCGTATTTATTGTGTATAGGTTAGGGGGCAGGGCAGTGAGTGAAGTCATCTTTAAGGACAGTGATAGGGTTGTGAGCAATAAAACATGGGGTCCACCCCCATTAGGTCACCTAGGCCAGGAGGTGGACAGTGCACAGCAAGGGGCCCGTTCCCACGGAGGCAAGGGCCGTGTGCAGTGAGGGGTCCACCCCCCATTAGGTCACCGAGGCTTGAAGGTGGGCCGTGCGCAGTGAAGAGGGTGCAGTGTGTGATACTTCTATCTATGGGAAAACTACTTCTAAGAAGGTTTATAGGAGGATGCTTTAAGTCACACAGCAGTGACAGAGCTGTCAGGGTTACCGCCACCTTCTGGCAGTTTCCAATGGGTTCTATGGGAAGATGCTTTTCAAGCAGCACAGTAGCAAGAGCTGATAAAGTTCACAGTCACCAAGGTGGATTGCCGGTCCGAGGGCACCTTCCACAAGAACTGGAGCAAGGTCCTACAGCTCCTTTATCAGGAGGAGTGGCTCTTGCCCCAAGCCTGCCATACAGCGGGGATCTTTACGATACTGAACGCTGCCGCCTGGGCCGTGGATTCTTGTCCTGGTATAACTGTTTTCCCTTAATTCATGCTCTGCACTGTGTCTGCTCTAGGCATTCCTCCGATTATGAGCTAAGATATAATTATAGGTATATATGTAGGGAGATATTCTTTAGGCACTCATACTATCAACTATTATATGATTATATAGAGAGGATTATATAAAGCGATTCTATAAAAGGAAACAGCTGAGTAGTAACACTATAAAGTGAGATATTCCTCAAGCCCATTCCTCGTGCCTATATGGGGGGTTACCCACCCCCAGCTCCACCAATGCACCCTACAGGTCTGAGGGCTCAGGCAGGTCCTCACCGAGGAAGGGACCACCATCAAAAGGCAGCCCAGCAACAACCCCGACGTGGGCTCCCAGGTAGTGGCACAGGCGGTTGTGTCTGGGGTACCCTGACCCTGACCCTGACCATCTCTGAATCCTGGCCTACGTTACGGCCCATCACAGCTGGGCAGGTGATGTTTAGGGGCCAAAGGGGACGGAGACGGTGAATGAAACAGCACAGGAAAAATGACTGCTTTAATGTATTAGGCAAAATTTTACATAAAATCAGAAATCTATGATCTGTCCCTGATCCAATCGGTAAAAAATGCAAGATTCACCACAAGCCATGTGCAGTCAGGCCCCAGCTGGCCAGCGGTGCAGACCTGGAGTCCGGCCGCAGGTGCTGTGCTACTTTCCATTCTCTGCATTGAACATCTGTTCCTAGGAACAAGCACAGCATGACGGGCACGGTTGGCCTCACCACCCCTGCCATCTGCACCGTGAAGCCCCACAACACCACTTGGAAGGAGGGAGGCCCTTGTGGGGTCTGCAGTCTGAATGGGGGCCAGGGCCACAGGGTGGCCAACACCATAGTCAGGCACCACACAGGCCAGAGAGGAGCCAGGACCCACCAAGGGGAACCCTCCTCCCTGGATGGCCTCAGCAGACCCCTCTTGCTGGGCAGCCCGTTAATGAGACCTGGGGTCTCACTGAAGTTTTGACTCTGCCCAGCTTTAACACCCATGCCCAGGCCTGGACTCTGATGGGGCTCAGCGTTATGTCTGTGGCTGCCCACACACAACACTCACTGTCAGCATCCGCTCCAGCTTCACTGCGTCAGCAGCAAACTTGCGGATCCCGTCCGAGAGCTTCTCCACGGCCATCTGGTCCTCATTGTGCAGCCAGCGGAAAGACTTCTCATCCAGGTGGATCTTTTCCAGGTCACTGGCTTGGGCTGGGGGGACAAGAACCAGCTGTCCCTCCCCACCTTGGCCCCTTGGGCTCAGGGCTGTCCCTGAGCTTGCTGCCCAGCATCTCCCAGCAGGGCCAGCCCTCACCCCCAGCCAGGCTCACACTGGAAGTGGGGTTCAGCCCACTGTACCTCAGCTGAGGACTTGAGTAAGATGTGTTAGGGAATCCAAGCCCTCTACTGAGGTTCACTTCACCCTCATGTCTCCTGAGCTGTCCTTGCCCCAAGGTGGGAAGCTTCCCCCACATGACCACAGGGCAGAGGGGCCTCACCCGCCTTGGCTGAGAGCACAGGCGCCAGCTTGGTGTTGTCCTTGAGCAGCTCTCCCAGGAGCTTGGGTGAGATGGTGAGGAAGTCACAGCCGGCCAGCGCTTTGATCTCGCCCGTGTTGCGGAAGGAGGCGCCCATGACAATGGTTTTGTAGCCAAACTTCTTGTAGTAGTTGTAGATTTTAGTGACACTCTTCACCCCTGCAAGGAGACCAGGCTGTGTCCAGGAAAGCGTCTGCAGAGGTACCACCCCGCCTGCCCTCCCAGTGCCTGCCAACTGCACTACCTTGAGCCGCCATCCCTGCCTGCCCCACGCCGACCTGTGCACCTCACTGCTTGTTGACGCACCAGCTCCATCTCAGGCTCTTCCCGCCTGAGGTGTGGCTGAGGCTTCTCCCCTTACCCCATTACCTCAGGGGGACCCTCACCAGGGTCTTCCAGGGGCTCGTACGATTTCTTGTCGGTGTTTGCCACATGCCAGTCAAGGATGCGCCCAACAAATGGGGAGATGAGGGTCACACCCGCCTCGGCACAGGCCACAGCCTGGGCGAAGGAGAAGAGCAGCGTCATGTTGCAGTGGATGCCGTGCTGCTCCTCGAGCTCCCTGCGGGGCGGGGGCAGGTGAGTGCAGGCCAGGTGCCCGGCCAGGTGCCCGCCCAGAGCCACAGGCTGCCAAGGATGCTCATGGGGCCTTAAACTAAAATGGCAGGAACAGGCTCATGCCATTGTCGAGAACAAATCTGTAATACTCAAGAGGGTTCTAAATGGATAGTGGGTTATGGGTAACCTGGATGCTCTCCAACCCACATTACACAATAGACAAAGGCAAGGGAGGCCCCTGGGTGCCTCTGCTCTGGCACAAGGCCCTCACCTCATCCCAGAACTCACCAGGGCTCAGCTCCCAGGCTAGAACCACCAAGTCGGTCCTCCCACAGTCTAGTCCTCAACCTGCTCCACACTAGCCCTTCCTGGGGCCACCCTGCAGCAGGCCCGCAGTACCCTGGTTTGTGCTGAGGAGCCCCTTGGCCACACTAGGCCCCTTGCCCCAATCCCAGTGCACTTTGGACATCCTGGGGTTGATCCCCAAGGACAGGGCAGTGCCCATACTTTGCCATGTGGCTGGGGCATGGGATGAGACAGCAAGCCTCTGCTCAGGCACCTTCAGACACAAGTTCCCCTTCCCTAGGTGCCTCTGCCACATGGCCACACAGGGGTGTTCAAGTGCAGCTGCAGAGCTCACACCCGGCAGGGGGAGGGCAGATGGCACAGCGGAGCTGGGTAACAGCCTGCAGTTCCTCCACTCCTAGGCATATGTCCATGAGAAACAGTAACGTGTCCAGAGCAAAACTAGCACATCTGTATTCAGAGCAGCAATATACATCACAGTTCCCAAGGCGGAAACTGACCAGGTGTCCCTCAACAGATGAGTAACTATGGCCTATCCAGAAAATGGAGTATTTTTCAGCACATAAAAAATGAGGCGGGCACAATGGTTCATGCCTATAATCCCAGCACTTTGGGAGGCCAAGATGGGTAGGTCTCTTGAGCCCAGGGGTTCGAGACCAGCCTGTGCAACACGGTGAAATTATCCAGGAATGATGGTGCCTGCCTGTCGTCCCAGCCACTCGGGGGACTGAGGTGGAAAGATTGCTTGCGCCTGGAAGTCACGGCTGCAGTGAGCTGAGTACGTGCCACTGCACTCCAGCTCTGGTGAAAAAGTGAGATGCTATCCCAAAGCAGGCAGTGATGGCAGGTGCTGGAACATGCAAACACAGAGACGTGGCAACAGAACACCTCTTACTGATGTGGTTTGAGTGTAGCTAGCATTGGCTACTGGTGAGAACATCACGGAGGAGTTTTATTACTTTCTTTTGTACACTTTCTGTCTCTCTTCCACTATGAACATATATATATTTGTTTTCATTTTTCTGAGACAGGGTCTCTGTCACTCAGGCTAGAGTGCAGTCGTGCGATCACAGCTACTGCAGCCTTGACCTCCCAGGCTCAGCCGATCCTCCCCCTCAGCCCCTTGAGTAGCTGGAACCACAGGGCTTTGCCACCATACCTAGCTAATTAAAACCTTTGTTTTTTGAGACAGAGCTTCACTCTTGTTACCTAGGCTGGAGTGCAGTGGCGTGATCTCAGCTCACTGTAACCTCCGCCTCCTGGGTTCAAGCGAGTCTCCTGCCTCAACCTCCCGAGTAGCTGGGATTACAGGCACCTGCCACCACGCCCAGCTAATTTACTCCTGACCTCAGGCGATTGATTTACCTGCCATGGCCTCCCAAAGTGCTGGGATTACAGGCATGAGCCAATGCGCCCCACCTAATTTATTTTTTGTAGCGACAGGGTCTTTCTTGCCCAGGCTGGTCTGGAACTCCTGGGCTCAAGTGATCCTCCCACCTCAGCCTCCCAAAGTGCTGGGATTACAGGCATGAGCCACCTTGCCCAGCCAGCATATATTTTGTATAACAATGGTTTACTTTTTTTTGGAGAAGGAGTTTTGCTCTTTTTGCCCAGGCTGGAGTGCAGTGGCATGATCTTGGCTCACTGCAACCTCTGCCTCCCAGGTTCAAGCAATTCTCCTGCCTCAGCCTCCTGAGTAGCTGGAATTACAGGTGCACGCCACCACACCTGGCTAATTTTGTATTTTTAGTAGAAATAAGGTTTCATCATGTTGGCCAGGCTGGTCTCGAACTCATGACCTCAGGTGATCTTCCTGCCATGGCCCCCACAAAGTGCTGGGATGACAGGCGTGAGCCACTGCGCCCAGCTAACAATAGTTTACTTTTTAAAAAATCATGTAAATATAGGTTTTTGTTGATCAGGACAAAGGAACGAAAAAGACAGAATTTGCAGGTGTTAACCAGTGGCTGTTCTTCTCTGCTGGGTGGGTGGATGGCACCCTTCATTTCTGATCACCAGCAAGTGGGGGAGCTGGCTCTGGAGCAGAGGGCAGATCTTGGTTGACATCAGCTGGTCAAGTCCAAGCTGTGGGCTGTGCTCCCCATTCTGGCATGCCCCAGGGCTGAGAGTCAAACCTGTCTGATGCCATTTAGACCCTGCCCCAGCAGTAGAGGCAGGATCTCTGAAAGCTCCTTCCTTGTGGGGGACTACTTACTTTCCAGCCTGAATTCCCTCCCAGGTTGATGACAGCTTTATAAGAATTCTGTCCTTGCTGATCCCAGCTTCCTTATACAGCTCAATGAGGCGCCTGGCTCTAGCCACCATCGCATCTTTATCAAAGGAGAGCCTGTGGGAACAAGAACCCATCCCCTCAGATCAGGTAGGATGCCCACCACGCAGAGCAAGTTGGAGGCAGGGTGTCTGCCCAAGTCAGTTTTGAGCTGCACCATAAGCACCAACCCCCCCCACCTTCCCACCTTCCCCTCGCATGAGGCATACAGAACGGCTCTGACAGCAGCTCACACCCCGTCTCACAATCAAAGGTCCTCAGTGGGATCCCTCGGCTCTAATTTGTATTAAAAAACACAAGAGATCACGTGCTAAACAGGGAGCTCTCGGTCCTCAGTACTAACTGTGGGAGAGCTCAGAATAAACTTTCTCTGGGGCCCTTGGGACGGAGACTACGGGTGCAACAGCCCCTTGACCTCACCTCGGCATCCATGTGTGCAGTGGTGGACACCTGACCAGTCTGTCCAGTGCAGGAGTGTAGGTAACCCCCCATCTGAGCATACAGGAAGGAGAGCTAAGCAGATCCCCGGCACAATTAGTGCCTGAAAAATATCTTACTACTCAGTTATTTCCGTGTGTGTGTGTGTGTGTGTGTGTGTGTGTGTGTGTATAAAACTATATTAGTTGATAGTCGGAGGAATGCCTAGACCATGAATTAAGGAATAAGCAGCTATATATATATATAATCATATCTTGCTTATAGTCGGAGGAATGTCTAGAGCAGACGTGGCACAGAGCATGATTTAAAGGAAAAACAGTTACACCAGAACAAGAATCTATGGCCCAGGCGGTACTGCCCCTGCCTGAAAGGGCACGTGCTACGTGACAGGCTGGCCCAGGTGACAGCGCTCAGTATCGTAAAGACACCCGCTGTATGGCAGGCATGGTGCAAGAGTCACTCCTCCTCAAAGGGAGTTGCAGTACCTTGCATCGGTTCTTGTGGAAGCTGGCCTCAGGTTGGCAAGCCCTTGAGCATCCGAGACTTTAAAACCCCTCCAGTACAATCGCGCCTTGGTGGCTGTGAACGCTGTCAGCTCTGTTGCTATGTACTGACTCAAAGCATCCTCCAATAGAAATCATTGGAAGCTGACGGCAGGTGGCTGTATTCCGTCAGCTCTTCAGCTACTGTGCTGACTCAAAGCATCCACCTGTAGAATTCCTTAGAAGTAGCCTGCCGCTAGATACGAGATATCACACACTGCACCCTCTTCACTGCGCACGGCCCACCTCCTTGCCTCGGTGACCTAATGGGGGTGGACCCTTTGCTTACCGCACACGTGACTGTCTACTGTTCTTAAGATGACCTCACTCACTACCCTGCCCCCTGACCTACACCCAATAAATACGGATGCTCCTGCATGTTCAGGGCCTCGCCTGTCTCCGCTTGTAGGTGGCGTGGTCCCCCGAGCCCAGCTGTCTTTTCCAGTCCTTCGGTGTCTTGTCTCTTTACTTCTCGGATCCGGCACCTCAGCACAGCGATGGGGGACACCCCACAACCCTGTAGGGCTTGACCCTACACAGGAGCAAGCATACTTACCTTGCGTCTACTTCTGTGGATACTCGGCCTGGAATCTTCTTTAGTATTTCTGCTCCAAACAACACAAAAAGTTTATCAATAGCATTTTTAATCTGGTCCTCTTGTGACCTGAAATTCAAAGGGAAAAACATAGGTTAGAAGCTTCTGAGATTTAAGTGCAAAGAGTCTACAAAATGAATTCTATTATTTCTTTTTTTTTTTTTTGAGACGGAGTTTCGCTCTTATTACCCAGGCTGGAGTGCAATGGCGCGATCTCGGCTCACCGCAACCTCCGCCTCCTGGGTTCAGGCAATTCTCCTGCCTCAGCCTCCTGAGTAGCTGGGATTACAGGCACGCGCCACCATGCCCAGCTAATTTTTTGTAGTTTTAGTAGAGATGGGGTTTCACCATGTTGACCAGGACGGTCTCGATCTCTTGACCTCGTGATCCACCCGCCTCGGCCTCCCAAAGTGCTGGGATTACAGGCTTGAGCCACCGCGCCCGGCCGAATTCTATTATTTCTTTTTGGTCAGGCTGGTCTTGAACTCCTGACCTCAGGTGATCCGACTGCCTCAACCTCTCAAAGTGCTGGGATTACAGGAATAAGCCACCGTGCCCGGCCGAATTCTGTTATTTCGTTGCCAAATTTCTTTCCCTCCATCTTTTTTTCTGTTAAAACTTTTTTTTTCTATTGTGGTAAAATAACATATAACATAAAATTTCCATCTTAACCATTTTTCCCCGCCAAGACAAGGTCGCTCAGGCTGGAGTGCAGTGTGATTACGGCTCACTGCAGCCTTCACCTCCCAGGCTCAAGTAATCCTCCCGCCACAGCCTCCCAAGTAGCTGGGACTACAGGTACACGCCTCCATGCCCAGCTGTTCTCCAACTCCTAGGCTGAAGGGAACTTCCCATCTCGGTCTTCCAAAGCACTGGGGTTACAGGCTTGAGCCATTGCCCACAGCCCATCATTTTTACGTGTAGTGGTATTAAGCTCATTCACAATTCTGTTCAACCATCACCATCTCCAGAGCTCTCTTCATCATCCCAAACTGCATCCCTCCATCTTTTGGCATTTGCAAAATATTCTACTTTCCATCTCTTCAAAGTCACTGGACAGACACCAGGTGAAGCCCATGATGCTGTTCCAAAATGGGCCACTATCTAAGCGGCCTCATTAGCCCACTACACACAGGAAGATCTTCAGCGAGACCATCAAGGGTTAGAATTCTTGGGCCAGACCAGGTGCAGTGGCTCAAGCCTATAATCAGGCACATGCCTGTAATCCCAGCACTTTGGCAGGCCTTAAGCTCAGCAGTTTGAAACCAGGGCAACATGGCGAAATCCTGCCTCTACCACAAAATACAAAAATTAGCCAGGCGTGGTGGTATGTACCTGTAGTCCCAGCTGCTTGGGAGGCTGAGGTGGGAGGATGGCTTGAACCCAGGAGGTAGAGGCTGCAGTGAGCTGAGATTTCGACCCTGCACTCCAGCCTGGGTGACAGAGCTAGACTCTATCTCAAAAAAAAAAATTCTTGGGCCACCTGGACATGAGGGCAGAGTTCATCTGTTGATCACCCAGCCAAGCAAAGGTACCAATGTCACCCAATACCAGGAGCACCAAGGCCTTAGGCCTTGCTGATGCCACAGGGGCACAACACCCCCATGAGAGGAGGAAAAGGGAGCCAGCTTAGATAAGAGAGGGGCGGGTCAGACTCAGCATCCAGAGTGGCTGTCACCAATGGTCAGGGGAGCCACTCACCAGCCAGCTAGACCTAAGCAAAGCCAGTACCAGAGAGGGACCTGTCCTGTGTGGTGCCCAAGCTGCCTGCTCGCCACCATCTTCCAGCTGTGAATTACCTTGAAGAGAATCTAAAATGACATCTAAAATATGCAAAGCCATGGGCATGAAGAGTGGTCTACAGTTGCTTGCTTGGGTAAGGGAATGAGGACCTACTGCAAACAGGTGCCAGAGAACATTCTGGGAGTTATAAAAACCAGACTGTGATGATGCTGCATCATTGCACAAATTTACCAAAACCCATCAGGCTGTGTACTTAGTGTATTTTATATCAGATATAAAGCTATTAAAAAATTAAAAAGCCAGGTGCAGTGACTCACGTCTGTAATCCCAGCACTTTATGAGACTTGCCTGGCCAACATGGTGAAACCCCATCTCTGCTAAAAATACAAAAATTACAGTCGGGTGTGGTGGCACATGCCTGTAATCCCAGCTACTCAGGAGGCTGAAGCAGGAGAATCTCTTGAACCCAGGAGGCAGAGGTTGCAGTGAGCTGATACGCCACTGCACTCCACCCTGGGCAACAAAAGCAAAACTCCATCTCAAGAAACAAAAAAACAAACACCCCAATAATTAGCCAGGAGTAGTGGCGCACACCTGTAATCCCAGCTAACTGGGAGGCTGAGGCAGGAGAATTGCTTGAACTGGGGAGGTGGAAGCTGCAGTGAGCCAAGACTGCTCCACTACACTCTAGCCTGGATGACAAAGCAAGACTCCATCTCACAAATTAA